ATATATTGTACGCACATGCTCTCCACCCTCCCTCCTCTACCTTCCTCCTCCCCTCTTTCTCCTCCTCTTTCTCCTCCCCCTCTCCCCTTCCTCCTCCTCACATTTGTCAAAAATCCACCTCCATAATTCCTTCTCTCTTTGGCCCACTGGCAGGTCAACAGGGCATCAAGCTACATCGACGGCAGTTTCCTCTATGGCACGAGCACAGTACGGGCCGAGTACTTGAGAGAGCGAGGCACTGGCAAGCTGGCGTGCTGGGACAAATGGGGAAAGTTCCCGCGCTACAACAGCGTCCAGCTGCCTTACAACGCTCTGGCCGTCAGACATAACACCCTGGAGCAGTTGTGGCGTAAGTCCTTCTTTTGGGTTCATGAAGTCCTTGTCACTTATTTGAGAGGCTGCAAAATTAAATGTCTCTTGTCTTTATTTTTTTCAAACTCAAAACAACAACGCAAAATCAAAAAGAAGAAAATAACAAATAAATTAATTTTTTTAAAAACACCCTTAAGAAATCTAAACAAAGCATAACAAAACAAAACAAAAAAGCCGTGTGATATTTACTCTGATTGCAGCCCAGCAGTTGTGCCAATCTAACTATGAATGTCCGGCTGCTTAGAATAATAGATGCTCAAAATACCACAGTTTTGGGCCTGCCTTTGAAATGGCTGCTCTGTGCACAGTAGGACGTTTTTGCTCTATTCTTTTGTTCTTATGCCTTTCTTAACACTGAAGTCATATCAAAGTTGATGGGTTCTCTCATGTGGGTTGCTCCTTCTTTTCTATCAATCATCTATTGTTCTTATCTCTTCTCCTTCTTTTGTGATTGTTACTCTCATGTAACATCTGCAATATTTGGCACTTATGTGACCTAATCGTGTTTCAAGTGCCCTAAAACTTAAACTAGAAAAAAAAAATCAAAGTTGGGGCCTCTCTGTGAGAGTTTTTCCTTGAGGGAGATGTAACTACAGGTCGTGAGAGCAGGTTTGACTGTTATTAAAATCTCTTTCCAGGTCTGGGTGACGAGAATGTATTTGAAAACCCTCCAGTCCTCGCACTGTCCCTCATGTTCTACCGGTACCACAACCTGTTTGCCACTGAGGTGATGAGGGAGCATGGACAACTGACGAGTGATCGGGTTTTTGAGATGGCTCGCCGGAGAGTTATTGGTGTCACGCAGGTTAGTTGTGTCTTCTTTTGTTTCTAATAATAATAATAA